GGAGCAGATTGAACGTCTGTCCTCTCCCCACCTCCCAACACCCACACTTCAGCGAACTAACTCATACACTGAGGCTCTGACTGTAGCCAAGCCAGCCAGGAGCAAGCCATTCATTGACTAAGGGAAAGGTTTTCCAGGCGAAGCCAAAGAAAAACATGGCCAATGCTTGGTTCTTAAGTTTCAGAAGGCAGGTCCAGGTGTAATGTGGGAAGGCTGTGGAAGGATGCAATTCTAAGTTGACCCAGCCATACCTTTGTATCCTGACTCTCACCCTTATCCAGTCTAAATAAAGATTCCATGGACTGTGCGGGGTGAGGTGAAGACCGTACTGAAAGGAATCTGCTGAGAGGAGGTGGGGTAGCTAGAGGCTGCCATGTCTGTTTCCAGGGCTGGGTGGAAGTCAACCCCTAATTTGAGCTGAGGAGTGGTTGCTGTTCTACTTTTTTGGCATCTGGTGAGGACCTGTTGGTGACAGCAGGCAAGAGGAGGCCTGTTCTTCATCTGGAGGAGTGATGCTCAGTACTTTGCCTAGGTCCCATGCAGCCCGCTCCCAAGATCCCAGGGCACTTATCCATCACCTCCATGCCCCAAATGGAAGATGGAGCCTGACACTTGGGGTCTCACCAAGTGAGGATGGTGGTAGACGCCCAACTCCTGTCACACACTCAAATTCCCTGGTGACCTTCCCACCTCTCATCCAGGCTGGGCTCCCTGAGGGCTAGCATGTCTCATGTGTATATTTCTCTCTGGATTTGGCTACTTCTGTATATCAAGGGAGTAAAATCTGTTGAAAAGTTTATGGGTTCCATATGTCTGTTGGGAGATTGGGGGGGCATGAATTGTAGGTGACATTTGGGCTGTTATGCTTACTTTTCTTTGGTTTTCACCAGATTCTTAAAGGAGCTTCTGGTTTAAGAAAGTTGAGAACTGCGGGAAAGGAGGGTATGTAAGGTAGCCCACAGGTAATAAAAACAATGCCCAGTCTGGGCCAAGCTCTTTCATATGTTGTCTCATCCCAACCTTGTGAGGTCAGTGCTAACCACATCCCCTATTTCCGCACAGGGCAATCAGCCTCAGGCCTAAGAAGCTGGTTCAGACAGTGGAGCTGGGCCTTGAACCCAGGTACATGCTCAGAGCAGCCCTGTGTCCCCTCCTCCCACTACTTTGTCACGGGATGCACTATCCCTAAGACATCCAGACTTCTCTCACACACCTATTCTGACTTTGTCACTCTAGAATGTTCCATAACATTATCTGATTAAATTTCACTTTTCCTTTTAGTTTGGGCTGATCATCACCTTGAGTAATATGTTTTTTTCATGCTGTAAGACATAAAATTCTTTTACTGTCATAAACTTGTGTCTTTCTTCTTCAAGGTGGACCCTGAGTCCTAAAACCCTGATATCTGATGAATAGCACCAAATTTGTTTTCTTTGTCTTTTCACTCAGATTTTCTAAACTGAGGGTCTCAAAGTAATGAATTAAATAACTAATACCTCTGCAAATAGCTACCACTTATTGGATGTTCTCCAGGTGACTGGCATGGTGTCATTTTTACCCTCATGATCTCATTTGATCCTCCTAATGCCCCTATGAAGTAATTACTATTATCCCTATTTTACAGTTAAGGAAACTGAGGTTTAGAGCCCATGGCAGGAGTGCCAAGCCACTTCCTTCTTTACTTCGGTTGGTGTAAAGTTGTATCCCTGTGCATGCCTCAGGGGTGACAAACAGCCCAGCAGTATTTGGGTAGTTAGAGATGATAAAGTAGGCTGCTTTGTGGCCAGTTGTGAGGTCAGACCAGAGAGGACATGTTCACTCCAAGGGCTCCTGAGGAACTCGAGGCCTTCGTTGGGGTAGATAGACCACAGCGAAGCAGCCTGGAGAGGTCAGCATAATGCAGGCCCTGGCTGGGGGCACATATGGAACCTAGCCCTCTTCAGGGATGTGAGCCACTGCTTGGCCAACCTTCCTTCTGGAAAGAGGTAGGAGGCTGCCACTGCTTCTTTGTGCTGCCTGGGTGGCCTCCAAGAATCAGTAATGTGTGAGGTCATTGTAACTGAGCACCTCAGGAAATACCTTTGGTGACTGTGGCTTCAGATATCTGAAGTCCAAATTATAACTTGCATTTGCCCAGTGATTCACAGTTCAGTATTTATGCCACAGTGATCTCATCGAATCCTTTGTGCTTCCTGCTAGGCTGTGAAGGTCATGTCCATTTGATAGATGGAGAAACAGATGAGGAGAGGCAGGTAAATTGCCCAAGGTCACCCAGAGCCAAGACTTGAAGCCAGGTCCTACTGACTCCAAGTCCCATTCACCAGTGATTTTCAAACTTCACGCTGTGGAGCCCTCAGGTGCTTGGGGCAGGTGAGGGGAAGGGGCTGAAGACATGGAGGAGGCGGCCAAGGGGGTGAGGCTCTGTCCTCTTTTCCTCACTTCACTGCAGACTGCACTTGTATCAGGATTCTGTGTCAGACTTGTTTGAAAGACTTGTGTTGCTAAGCAAATATTTCCAGAGGACTACCCCAAACTGTTCCTTCTTCTCTGGGAATTGGGTGCAGGCTCTTCCTTCCCTAGGACTCCCCTTTCTCTATAGCAGCAAGAAGAAACCTACTCTCTGTTGGAGGATATACTCAACCCCAAGATGGCAGCACAAGGGAGGAGAAAATGTACTGCACAGGGATGTAGCAGATCCAGGTCTTAGTCCTAGGTTAGTGTGACTTGGCAAGTTATTTACGTCAGTCTCTCCATCTGTAAAGATGAGGGGATTGGCCTAGATAATTCTGAACATCGTTTTTTTCAAATATCTAGTGAATCTGGGGTATCATGCTTAGTTCATAGGCTCTTAAACAGAGGTGAGTCACTTGAAATTGTATGAAAATGTAATTTTTTTGTATGTGCATTTTCTTTTCTGGAAGGTATATCTATAGCTTTCATTAGAGTCTCAAAGGGGTCTGTGATACAGAACAGCTAGCTTCTCTGGATTTTTTCTTTATTTTTCTCTTTTTGGCAGATATGCTGGGAAATCTTATTTCTCCTTGGGGAGGGGGCTCAAGTTGTAAGAATGGTGTGAGAAAGCTATTTGCAGAAAGGAAAGAAGTGTAACATATAAAGATAAGTAGAGCTAAACGATGGGAGCTAGATGAATGATAAGAGCCAGTGAGCAAGCTAACAATACTGTTTAAGCCCCTGGATCCAGCCATGCCTGATACACTTTTCAGCTAAATGAATGACTGCCCCTCCCTCATTAAGGGATTTTCTATTTCAATCGCCTGTAGAATAAATGACTGATGTGCTAATATTACTGGGAGAAGCTCTCACCATTTGAAAAATTAATGAATCTCAACTTAGAAAAAGCAAAGCAGGAAGAGAAAGGGACTGGGGTGGGGGTTTTCCTCTTAGGCTCTTTTTTTTAATTTCAGGAAAGAAAAATGCTCCCTGTTTTGTTCCCTATCCATTATTCTTTTAGCAAACTGGTGGCTTTTAGAGGCAGAAAAGACCTTAGAATCAATCCTTTTTTCTTTTGCGGTACGCGGGCCTCTCACTGCTGGGGCCCCTCCCGTTGCGGAGCACAGGCTCCGGACGCGCAGGCTCAGCGGCCACGGCTCACTGGTCCAGCCGCTCCGCGGCACGTGGGATCTTCCCGAACTGGGGCACGAACCCGTGTCCCCTGCATCGGCAGGCGGACCCCCAACCACTGCGCCACCAGGGAAGCCCCTTAGAATCAATCTTGTCATTACATAGATGGGAAACCAAGATCCAGAAGAGATGTGACCTTCTCAAGGTCATAGAGTAAATTGGTAGCAGCGCTGAGACTAGAACGGAAGTTACCTTCTTCAAGGTATGCTCCTCCTCTCTGCGTGACTTTCCTCAGTGCTTCTTTCCCAGGCAGGCTTGACAGTTAGCTGAGCTTAGGAGGGTTCCTGTGCCCATATGTGTCGCATTGACATATGGATCCTTATCTTGTCCAGAAAATTCTGCAGTCTGGCCCTCTTTTTCAGGTTCCATGGGCACAGGCAAATAATGCAGTGTTTGGTCAGAAGATGCTGGAGGAGGTAAGGGACCAGTCCCGTCACAGGTGACAGGCCCACCTAGGGTGCTGGCCTGGTAGCTCCAACTAGAATCGGGGTCCTGGGGATCAGGGCCAGGCCAGACATTGCCCAATGTTGCACACAGCAGGAAGATTTGGATATGGGAACGGTCAAAAGCAGGCAGGCAGGATTTATGGGACAAGTCCAGGGCGTCACTTTCGGCCACAGGGTCAGATTTGTTTAGCCCTGAAGGGCAGGAATCGCAAAGGCAGAAACGGGGTCAAGGGGGGCCGGCACAACCATTGCCCACAGGGCCGGCGGGAGAGACAGGGGCACACCTTAATGTGAAACGAAAAGGCAACTCAAGATCTGCCTGCCACGCCGTTCACAAACTACTCAAAGCCGCACAGGAGAAATGACCTTTAATGTCCGACTTTGCTTCCAACCCCGCCAAAGTGCCACCGTTCAGTGAAGTACAGGAGAGGCTTGCGAGGTCCGAAGTCACGAGACCAACAATGCCCTGGGCGCCTCCTGGGCACCCACTCGCTCTGCCCCCGCGCGGGCGGCCCCACACACGCACACACGCAGACCACACGTACACCGCACAGACACACGCACGTGCACCCACGGTTAAATACATGTACAGAGGGACTCGTTTAGATATATACACAGAGAGAGAGACGGAAATCCCGGCTGGCGTCGGGTCTCCCAGGCTCTCCGCGCTGTACCTGGCACCCATGCCCCTGCCAGAAAAGCAGCTGCCCCTCTCCCCGCCCCCCTCCCCCCGCTTCCCCGTGTCTACCAGGCGCCGACACTCCCCTCCCCCCCTCCGCCCGCCCCCCACGATGATTGGCTCCCCAGGGAAAGGAAGCGGTGCGCGGGGCCCTAAAACTGCCCGGGCGCCAGGGGCATGTTGCTTTTGAAGCCGGGCTGCCCGTTGGCCACGTCGGCTGCGGCCTCGTGGCCCCCGTGGCTGGCGTCTCCGTCGGTCCCGGGGCTCTCGTGCTCCGCCAGCAGCTTGAAGGTGAAGAGCGGGCTCGAGTCGTGGCGGCCGCAGCGGCCCGGGGGCTCGGGCGCGGGCAGGCTCAGGAGGGCGCCGGGCGCCTTCCACTCCGGGAAGGCGCACAGCTCGACGGGCGGCGGCGCGCCGCGGCCCAGGTAGCCGGGGCTCGGCGAGGCCGAGGGCAGGGTCCGCTGGCTGCCGCTCAGGCAGCTGCCGCTGTCATCCAGCGAGTCCTTGCGCGCCTGCGACCGCTCCAGCGAGCCGCCGCGCGTCCACGGCCGGTAGGTGTAGGCGCAGCCGCCCAAGCGGCGGCGGCGGCGGCGGCGGCGGCGGCCGCCGCGGCACTGGCACCCGAGGATGCGCACGAAGGCGCGCTTGAACTCCTTGCTGGAGCACGGGTAGATGATGGGGTTGAGGCAGCTGTTGAAGTAGCCCAGCCAGAACACCACCTTGAACACGGCGTCGGGGGGCTTCAGGGTGGAGAACAGGGAGCCTGCAGGGGGAAGGGGAGGGGTGGGCGTGGCAGAAAGACAGACAGCAGTTGGTGAGTAGTCAGACCCCTCTCTTCGATGTGGTCGGCCCAAACATTGTCAACCTGTGGCATTC